CATGCATGAAAAATATGCTAATAACAATATACCTAAATAAAGGAATTACTAAACCTAAAACATCTTACAGAACGACAACATTAGCTATGTTCACTAATTTAATATAGCTACTGTATATATTTTTTTAATTCCCGACACAATACGGAGGGTGACATAGCCAGAGGCTGTTAATCCTTAATTGAAAACAAAAACCGAAAAAGCGAAAAAATTCCATTGCACAGGCCAGGAAAGACGAGCATCTGACTGACTAAACAACCTTCAGCTTACGTCAAAAAAATTATTTATAGACAGGTTCTGTGAGGTCAACAGCTGTCAGGGCAAGGTCATGACCCCTTTTACTTACCAATCACCCAGTGAATTTAAAAGATCCTTCTTAAATACGGGGTCATACAAGGTCACAAGTAGGCAGGAGGAGGTCATGACTCCTTTGACTAACCAGCAACTCAATACACTTAAGGTCACCGCGGGCAGGGCGAGGTCCCGTACCAACACAACTCCGTCGTATGAGTGACCCAATGCACCCTGACTTCTTTAACCCCCTGCATACCGGGCCACTAAGGTCTCACCTGCCAGCCTTCCCTTCTGGGTGACGCGGTGGGAGTCGAGCCGAGTGGAAAACAATGATAACATTAGCATAAAACCCCAAGTGTCACGAGGGCTGTTACGTAGTCTGACTGGGCGGGGCGGGGCTACTGCGACGTCTCTGAGGCAATGAGTTCTTTACCCACTTGACAAGAGGCTCGGGGCACGGGCAGTAACAAATGGAAATTCCTAGTAACAAAAGAGTAACTCTACCATCGTGTTACGGAGTCTGACGGGGCAAAGTGTCACTTCCAAGATTCACAGATGAAAACTCCTTGTTACGAGGTCTATTATGCAATGTGACGGATCTCAGCGTGACGTCTGAGACAGTCTCTGGCAGGCAGTGACAGAAGGAAGGTACACGCCCGCCGTGACGTCTCTGGGTCCCACAGAAAGCCTACCTACCTACCTACCTACTTACTCTGGAAGAAATAATCGTCTCACATTTGCATGAGTTATGACCGAGAGAGGAAACTGCTGCTAAGTGGGCGAGGTAAATGTTTACATGTCGACATAACAGTTGCCGACACGCTTCTCCCGATAATTTCCTCTGGGTTGTCTAGTTTATTTTGGTTACTGTCGATTTGGGTTACGAAGTTAAGCTGTAACGTGAGACTGTAATGCTCCGTGTTATTGTATCATTATATGGTATTGGATTCCTGTATTCCTTCTCAAATCGGTGCAGGTCCAGATTACGAAATTGTTTATACTGTAACGTGAATATGTACCCGAAGTCGATCTTTTGTTTACATTCATTACTGTAATGTATTTCGCTGTACTATATTCATTAATTGTGGATGGTCAAGTTTGTTGTGACTGTTATAGCTTTGTGTTGGGAAGCTAACTCTAATGTGTTGTACAGCTGTAATGAAGAACCTGGTGTTTATGTTGTATTGTTTTAATACATTCGGTTGTATTATTGCATTGTGTTGTATTGTACTGAATTATAATGTACTGTGCTGAATTTTTTTGTGTTGTAATGTACTGATGCATTTATTGTGTTGTATTATTTTGTATTGCATCTGTTGCATTATAATGATTGTTATAATTATATACTGTACTGCAGTGTATTAATGTTTTGCAATATATAATAACACACGCTGCTGTATTGTATTTTCTTAGACTTTACTGAGGTGTACTGTATACTATTCATGTGCTGTACTGTATTGTTGTATTACTGTATTGTAGTGTGTTATATGTTCTTACACTTCACTGAGGTGTACTGTATACTATTGCTGTACTGTACTGTATTGTTGTATTATTTCGTCATGTAAGATCGTGTTTGGCAAAGATTCGTGTCACGAGACTGGCTGTAAGTGAACCCAAACCCGATGAACTGGTTTGTGTGTTCGGTTAATGAACTGTCATGTTAATTGTCTGGGAAAGTTTCACTCCGGTACATAGTTGTGTTTCGGAACCAACTGTGACGCGAGATTGACTGTGACGGGAGACTGAGTGTGACGGGAGACTGACTGTGACGCGAGATTGACTGTGAAGGGAGATTGACTGTCACGGGAGACTGAGTGTGACGCGAGTGACTGTGACGCGAGATTGACTGAGATGGGAAATTGACTGTGACGGGAGACTTGAGTGTGGCGAGAGATTGAGTGTGACGGGAGACTGGCTGATGCGAGATTGACTGTGACGGGAGACTGACTGTGACGCGAGTGACTGTGACGCGAGATTGACTGAGATGGGAGATTGACTGTGACGGGAGATTGACTGTGACGGGATACTTGACTGTAACGCAAGGCTGTGACGGGAGATTGACTGTGACGCGAGACTGTAACACATGGTTCACTAAGGTGGATTGGCTTTCGTGTTTTACTGACCTGGTGATTGTGTTACTGTTAAGCCATTGGTCTATTATGTAACGTAACACCGACGGAGAGACACCGACGGAGAGACAAAAGAAATCGACTTAAAAGAGAGATGGAGAGATGATCACTTAAGAGACATAAACAGAAAGTGTTATATCAACGATTCATAACTATACAGTATATAAGGTCCGAATCACCTGAAGATTAACCACACCAATTTATTTCACCTGAACATTTTAACCTAACCTAAACCCTCCCAGGTAACGTTAGGGGTTGATTAATCTTCAGGTGAAATAAACTGGGATGCGTAGTCTTCAAGTAATACCTATGTTCCTCACCATTAATCAACTCATAACAACACCAAGTCTACACACTCAGCTGGTGATCTGTGTCAACACCCCGAGCTGTGAAGGAGGTGTAGTATAGTGCCTTCAGCCACCACCAGGCGTTACAACTTCCCGTCATTCATAAAAAAAAATCTTACTACGTGAGGCTATAGACAGCTATTCCCACGCTCCTATTAATAATGATAATAGCAAATACAAAAGTAATGATGTTAGTGATAATAATCGTTTTAATAAAGGAAGTAATAATGATAACATATATAATGATGATAATAATGATAAAAAAATAATCATTACAATGTTTGCCACCATCATTATTATTGTCAGTATTCAAAAACACAGAAACGCAAGTAAAATTTTCCACCATTCCTCTACAATGTCTTCAGTCTGTCGTAATTACTAATCCACACACTCACCAGTCACCACATTACTGTACGTATCCACCCTGGCATGACTCCTCTCCGCTCGCCAACAACAAGATTCTCATTAATAATACAAGGTGCATTAATGTAGTTAACCTTACAACACCGATGCTCTTGACACAGTACAGATGGCTGCGTCTTGTATTTGATTCTCGGTCTCTCAATCTTTCTCTGTATCTCCGTCTCTCTCTTTGTTTCTCTATCTCTCTCTCAGTCTGTTTATGTAGGTTCGTAAGTGTCATTAACAATACACTAACTCGCCTCGGGACACACTATCTTAACTAAACTTCCTCGTGGCATTGGTGTACCTTCTTCCTCGTGACGACTTTACAAACCCCAGTTTATTGTTACCGCAAACTAGATTTCCTTTTCCGTGACTCTATAGCCTCAAGCAAAACCCACATTCCATGACCTTTCATTCCTCCCTCAGGCAGAGTGACGAGGTGAGACTGTGTGATGAAGTTCTTGATTCATACACAACAGCATTTAGTGGCTTTCAGCGTGTGCCCTTGTGTATAAGTCCTTCATTGACCCCCAGGAGTTGAAGGACAAGTCTCTCTCAGACACTCTCAGCCCTTGCCACTCCCTCACAGAAACCTTTCCTGGAAGCCTAGATGGAGCCCCTCAGTGTACCTCCTGCAGTCAGTGTGTGTGTGTGTGTGTGTGCGTATGTGTGTGTGTGTGTGTGTGTGTGTGTGTGTGTGCGGGCGTGTCTTGAAGCTGTTTGTGTTGGATAAGTGTGTGTGTGAGAATTAGAGTGAGTACGAGGGGGTCAGGAAGAGTTGGTGGAGGATGTGGATGAGGATGGAGGATGTGGGTGGAGGAATTTCTTTAAGGTGACAACGAAACAATGAATAAGGAACACATCACCAGGGACCTATACTAAGGTCTCTGTGTTCCTACCATCATTTCCTTGTCCACCAACTCTCTACACTCTTCTTTCTTCCATCTTTATTCTATCCTCTCGTCGCTCTCTATTTTAGCTTCCCCTCCCTTTCTCTTCCTTTTCACCCAATCATTGTTTATCTGGGTCTTCCTCTTCTACTGTACCTGCCCTCTTGTCCGTGATGTGGAGCGTGTCGGGTCTTGCCACTGCCCCAAGCATCTTGTCCGCTCCAACCCGTTACTGTACTGTGTTTGTGGGTGTGTGTGTGAGGGGGTCGATCGACACTTCTCACGCCCACTATCCAACACACACCCACCAGCAGTAACCCCGGATCCATTTCTCTTCATCAACCTCTGCCACTGTTATCATTACCATATCCTCTCCACTCCTGTCCACATTAACTACCACCACCATAGTTCCCAGTCATAGTCACCAACCCCATTTGCTCTCACACTCTCCAGCCACAACGACCTGCACACTGACTCTTCTCCGCCAATTCCATCTCCGCCAGACACTATATCATGACCGTAAATTCTCTCTGACACACACCCCATTTTCTTCTCTTGTTGTATTGTACCTTCCGTCACCTCCCCCAAAATCATTACCTCCAGACGATGTCCATCTCCACGCCTTCCCTAATCCATATACACAACCTCCATCACCATCTCTCACACACAAAACAGACCTTCCTCTCCTCACACACACCCTTACACGCCCACTACACCCTCTGCATTGAACATCACTGACCTGAAGATGATGGCATTTCCGGGGCTGCCTTACCCGAATCTCCAGAGCGTTCCCCCTGAGTCATGATTCAACCTCCCTCCCCCTACCAACATAATTGCATCGCCTTAAATCAAAACATTGGAACGATACTTCATGACACAACATGGACAGATATATTAGCCTCGCAGGGGTAACGTGTTACCAACATGTTTTAACTTACCTGTTCACATCCATGGGTATAGCGCATGAGGATAGGAGCGATGACGGCGTTGCCATCCACCTCTTTGGCCTCCTTCCGGAGTTGCGTGAACTGGAAGAGCGTCTCCTTGTCGTACTCGATTCGTCGCTGGAGGATCCCAAGCAACACGTCGAGTGAGTGGTTCCCCAGAGTTGGTTCGACCACATTGAGGAGCGTTTTGTTCTTGATGAGTCTCTGTTGCACTTCCTCCTGGGTGATGGAGAGCTGCCGCTGGTGGGACGCCTGGATGGGGGCGGGACCGTGGCTGATACTCCTTTGCAGCGACGCTTTGTTGCTAAGACTAAGCTCCTCCAGCTTCTCAAGGGCCTGCGTGTATGACTTAACAACCTTCTCGAACTCAAGCTTGAGGGCGTCGTGAAGGCTCTGAAGAGACTCATCGGAAGTACCAACGAGGCCGTGGTGGCCCATACCCTCGATGGCCTTCTCCAGTTGCTTGCGTCGCTGTTGTAAGATCTTGCGGATTTTAGGTTCAGAGCGGGCGATGACGCGCAACACCTTCTTGCAGGAGGTCACAAAGGGTCCACAAAATTCCCAGCGGATGTCCCCCGTGAGACATTCCTCTTGCTGGGCGAAGAATCGTACCATCTGCCAGACGACTGCCTCGGGACGCAAGATGCGAGTAGAGCCAGGCACGACTGGGGCAGTCTCGCTCACTTTGCAATAGAGCGCCTCCACGATAGGAAGTGAGTGAGGCATAGCATCCACCAGCACGTCTATGGGCAGGTCAGCAACGATTACTTTGAAGGTGGCAGCGGGGAGGCGATGGATGAAGGAAGCAGCGTCTCGGTACTGGAAATTTTCAGTCAGCAACAGAATCCGTTTGATGGCGTGGCGCGGCGACCCATCCGACGAGGATGAGGCTGTGATGCGGGTGTCGAGATCGAGATAGTCATCCTTGGAGCCATTGAAACCCCTGGACCAGGCGCTTTCTCGCCATTGTAATTTCTGCACAGGTCGCCTCTCCCGACGCTCCGGCCGGAACCTGACTCCCTTCTCCACGTCAGACACACCCGAGTTGCGTGCCGACGTCACTTGCTTGTACGTCCACGTCGACGTCTTGCAGGCGGCGCCGTCGATAAGGGGCGGCGGCCCGATCATGAGACTGGACTGTGTGCTGGTCTTGGAAGCCGGGGCGGGGGAAGGCTTTGGCAAGAGACCCACGGGCTTGGCGGGGCGCGGGGGCGGTTGTGGGTCGAAGTATCGGTCAAGACGCGACAATGCAGAACTCTCGGCACTAACGAGGATATGTGGAACGGGTGGTGATAAGACGCTTACCTCCCGGTCAGACCAGGTCACCGAGTGTCCAACGCGGGGCATTCCCGCAGGTCCCAGCATCTTGCAATCACGAGACAACAAAACCGCAGCCTCTACCACATGTCCTCACCCACTAACAGAGTATAAATTCCTGTTATCACACTGTTAATTATTTAGTACAAGATCCACTATACATCACTGTGACACACACTACACCTGACAGTGGTGTGGGGGCGACGCTGCTGCTGTTGTGGCGAGCGAGTCAACGTAAGGGAGGAACGACGCGTCCTCTCGGTTTCACTGATACAACACTTCTGAGGCGGCACACGCGAGCTACCCCAGGCCCAGCCAGCCCGCCCTCCTCCACCATCCCCTCCACTCCTCCATCCCTCCCTCACACCTGCCTGCCCTCTTCCACCACCTCTTCCAATACTCCCTCCCACCAACCCCACCCCCACCGTGCATCTCTCCTTCCCTCCCACACCCCTCCTTCTTTCCACTACCACTCCGTCCACCATTCCTTCCTTCCTCTACCACCATCACTCCTCTTTCCCTGCCCCCTCCCTTCCCTCTCCATCACCTCCACCACTCCTTCCACCGCCCACCCACCACCATCTCTCCTCCTTCCCCCCTCTCTCCCTCCTCATTTCCTCCACCACCATCACCACCGTTTCTCCCTCCCTCACCTCCACCATTACCACTAATCCCTCCCTCCACAACTACCATCTCCACTTATCCGTAACTCCCTCCACCACCACTCCACCATTATTCCCTCCCTCCTTCACTTCCCTCATCATTACACCTTCTCCCTCTCCCTCCCTTCACCACCACCCCGAGTCCAAATTAAAATTAAAATTCAAAACATTTATTGACAATTACATCAAAAGGAGCTGGTTAGCATGCTAACTAGCCCGCCCAAAACTAGTCTTAACAAGAGCTCTTTAACATTCTACTAATCATAAATCAGATATGTATACAACAAATAGATATGCATAAAATCTACAATCTTATGTTAAACTTACAGAATTTTTCATAATATTCTTAACCATATTTTTGTTCATTAAATAACAAACCATCTCTGTAATATCAGTAATACCATCACCCCTAAATTCTGATAAACAGTTACATTCCATAATGTAATGATATACTGTATGAGACTTTACATAGCCACACAGTTTACAAGGAATGCCGTCAGTTCCTTCAATATATTGCCAATAACATTTGTATCCAAAGCGTAGTCTCGTCACAAATGTATCATACTTAACCGAAACCTTACCACCCCGAGTCCAGATCTCCACCAGCGCTGCCACCACAATTCCTCCCTCTCTCCAACATCCTCCACCTCACTTTCATACAACCCTCCATCCCTCCTACACTTCTCTCCTCAGTCTTCCTCCTCCTTCCCTCCTTTACCCCCCCCCCCATGGTTACCTCTTACAAATCCCTCACCTCACTTTCCTCCCGCCCACCCTCGCCTCACTGTCTTCCCTCCCGTCTTCTCCTTCCCACCCTCACATTACATTCCTTCGTCCTTCCTCACCTCACAATCTCCCTTCACGTGACTCTCCTCCCTCTATCTTACATCTCTTACCTCTCCCCCCTCCCCCTCTTTCTTCTCCCCCTCACCTCACCTCACTTGCTACAAAACGTAGATCACTGTAACTACATTTTATATAAGAGACAGCCACAGCATTATTCTAACCCTCCCTCATGTGACGTCATCAATCATTCGAGGTATACCTGGGTTTTTTGGGGGTAAATTATAGGTGAGCTACAGTACTTCTGCTCTGTTAGGTTAGGTTAGGTTAAGTTAGGTTAGGCTAAGGATATTTTTGTAGACCGCACGCTATAGTAACACCTTCAAAGATTCGTAATCGTCTATTAAATCTTTTCCTGACTGGAGAAAAAAGAACAAATCTAACTGGCTCTGAGTGGCTCATCTAACCCCCGATACAAAGTTGAACTGACAGACATTCGTAAATTAATATAATTTCTGTTACGAGATAATGATGGTTGCCAAAAATCATTTAAATTACTTTGGGAATTTGTGATAACCATTATGCTTTATCCACATTTTCGTACTAAATTTCCCTCATTCATCGTTCTGGTTACTTTTAATATAATGTTATAAAAAAACTTATTAATATCTTCTTAATTTACAAAGTTCCACATTCTTATAGCGATATATGATAAAATTAGTCACTGTCGTTCGCTAAATACAGTATCTGGATAGTATATAATAAGACCATCCATTTCAAAGTTATTTTAGTTGCCCTTTATATTTGACAGAAAACGAAATACAAACTTAATATAGAAAATTAATACTTTCTTGGGTGACTGATTCAAATTTGAAATATATATAAACTTGATCGATAGACAGAGATGTGTTTCATTAAAATCATAATAAGACATCCCATTGATTTCATGGGATTTAATAAGTCCCTCAAAGGACATTACTCAGTTACATGTACACATTTGGAGCTAGTGTAGGCCACCCACTTGAGGGCTTGTGACTGAAAATATTGACCCAAAACTGAACCCACCCCAGGTAGGCACTCGATCTATACAGCCTACCCTAGACATTTGGTTGGCTGGGATCGGGGTGACTATCTAATTATTCATAACCCAATTTTTTATTCAATTTATTTGACTACAGATGTGGCAGTGTATTGTACCGTTACGAAGTGAAGCCGCTAATGGGTCTTTTAGTTTATATTATTAATACAGTAATACAAATAAAATCACTTTCTTCTCTTTTTGAAGCTTTTTTTTAATAAGGTGTTGTTTGGCTTTTGTGTATTGTTCTTCACCTGAACTCACTTGCATCGTATAAAATTGAAATTTTTCTTATCTCTGGTGTTTTATTGGATGTGGGGTTAAATAGTTCAGCGATCGGTAATGCTTGGACTGTTGACATACTGTATTCTGATACTCAAAATTTCACGATTATCAAATTTACCTCGATGAATCCAATTAAGCGCTCATCACCAACGCTCATTACAACTTATTTTTCAAAACGCTCCGTCATGTTAATATTGATATTATCATCGACTCTATTTTTCTGGCAAAATTAACGGTTTCAATATCAATATCAATAATAAATCTTCGCTCATCGGCGTTACTGGTGAACGAGAACAATCGTTCGATATTCACCCGAGGCTAAACATGATAATATTATTTTTCAGCTGAATATAAACAACCATAAAAAAATTATACCAATTAGTGTGAAGATATCTTATGCAGATGAATATCGCATGATAATATAAAATAGAAATGGTGGACGAATAGGATACACATGTAGTCATTTGTTTTACAACAAAATATAATTATGAATATTGGGAATATTACGTCTCACAAACCCGGATATTCAGGCAAAACATTACGACCAATCTACGAGACAAATTTCTAAATGTAAATCCTCAACATCAAGCGCAAGTTAATTAGTGTTTACAGCAAAAAGGTATCAACGTTTTATTTTAATTAAAAGTATTTTTTATTTAGTTTTCTCTATTTAGGATAAAAAAATCACCTGTAGTGAGCATGACATGAAGGATGAAGGAAATCGTTGGGTAAAACACGGTGAAGAACTGATCGTGTGACACTAAAATGATGTCTACGGACTTTATACGTGAAGAAATTAATTAAATTAGTTACCGTAAATACTCCTCCAAAAAATCTGCAGTCACCGCAACCTTGTTTCTTTACAACCGACCCGCTTGGTCCAAGCATGCTCTCACGTCCACAAAAAAGCGGAAAATTACACCACGACGCTTTCAACAAGGTTGCTTTCACTGGTACCAAATATCAAAATAAATACTTTATGTTTAATGTGGTGGGGGTCCGCCCCCTGGTTAGAAAGTTAGGTAAGGTTAGGTAGGTTTCTTTGGTTGGTTAGGTCAGAGCCTGTTAGGTTCTAGTAAATGTCACTTTGAAATACTTACTATAATTATAATAACATATTGGGAAAATATTAAACAAATAAATATAACACTAATGTCTGACTGCTCTCAAATAAGTGATTTATATCAAAATTATCTTACCTGGGTTGTAGAATTTTAGTCGGGAGTAGCCTACCGAGTGTTGCAAATTTGACCTGACAGGTTTGTTCTTGTATACAGTACTTTCAATCTTCCAATTCACTGATACTTATATTTTCACTCGTTTGAACTGAATTGGTAATATACGTATATAACACCTTCTTGTCCACACTGTTGCAAAATAGTAACTACCAACATTAGGCTGGGTAGACCAGCTAACGTTTTTCGCCGTCCATAACCACTATTACAGAAGGATGCATCCCAAGGAGTGTACTCTACATTGCTTGATACACCCGTGACCACTTAGTACAGTAGAGGAAGTCCAACGACCGTTCTCACATAAGTATTCCAAGGTATTAACCACTTTGTACCGTATTTCATTTTCTTGTCATTTTAACGTTGCTTCAGTTTTGTACACATCTATTTACCATGTTTAAGCGTTTTGTTTATATTAAAAGAAATTACGACGTTTTTCTCCTTAAAACATTATACAATTTAATCTTATCCTAATTCGAATAACTATTTTGCTGTAAGTGTCTTCAATCTAATGGTGAAAATTACTCACTAAAAATATCTAAAGTAAAGATTTTCCATCACTTCATCGGTTTTATACGCCGCTTCCCTCTTTGTTAATGACTGAATGGCTTGCTCACTCATATTCATTTTGGCTTACTGTATTTCCTCCATACTTGTTATGAAATGGATGAATCTCTCGCAAACAAGCCAATCATGCTCTCTCATTACTCACTGCAGTATATATTTTCTATAATCACTATGGTATATAATACAGAAAATTTTAATTTTCAGCAAGTTTTCGTTTAGTAAGTAGGCAGGGAGATACTACCGCCTGGGAAGATATTTGAAACATATGTATTGTCTCTTGGGAGACCCTGCTGCCATATGGCATCACAAAAATTGTGACCAAGTCCCAGGTTGCTGATCTGACTTTCTGCCTCATTTACACACAATTGCAAGGTTTCAATTGTTTCTCTTACTTTGTCAACACAACATACTATACTGTACATATAGCATTTCTCACTATTGATTATTATTATTTTTTCTTTATTATCATTATTACAGTATTGTTATTATTATTATTGTTCTTATTATTTTATTTTACTTTTTATTATAAATTTTATTTACTATGAATTACTATTCTTATTATTAAATTTTCGCCCCCCAGGCCCCGATGTGGGTCAGTGACCTGTGCCCGGGTGGGCTAATCCCCTTAAAAAAAATATATATATCATTTCTCACTACAGGTATTGATCTTTTTTCTTTTTTTTATTTATGGTCCTTATTTGTTATTATTATTATTATTATTATTATTATTATTATTATTATTATTATTATTATTATTATTATTATTATTATTATATTTTCGCCCCCAGGCCCTGGTGGGCTAATTCCGTCTAAAAAGGTAAAAGCACGTGATGTAATTAGATTTTTAAACCTAAAAATCTGTCTCAGCACTGGATGGAAGAGAAAATAAAACAAGATGTTCTCTGCCGAGTATGTTTAATGAAAGACATCCAGTACAGGCGAGCAGGGAACTACAGCACGGCAGAGATGCACACGATGGCGGTATTTTCTTCATCCTAACACCACCTCATAAAATATAATTATAGACCTTCAATACGCTTAAACTGTTAAAATAATTACTTGTACGATACAGGATTAATCAAAATTATTTGTCTACATATAGAGTTACTTGTTTGGCACATTCTATGACTCCAAGTCAGGAGAAGGGAAACTGATCTAAAACTAATATAAATAACATAACATGAAAGGAAACTGACCTAAGACTTAGCAGGCGTCACATGGGCACTTACACCTGCAATTTTCGCTTTCGGTTAGTACTAGCGGCTAGTTTTCAGGGACGAGTGGCTGGAGTTTCATCTGCTACCGGCTGATTTCTCCAGCCCGACCTGTTGGTCTAAAAATCGCAGGTACCGGCAATTCTCCGGAATAAAAAAAAAGCCGGTATTGTATAATATTAAAAGTTAAAAAGAGATTGTGCAATAAACAATTATCGCCCAGCTAGTTATAATATACTGTATACAGATAAAAAATTATATAATTAATCTGAATCAATTGTTCACTCCTCCCTGACCGTATACTAGCATTTATCTTTAGCTCCACATTGAAAATACAAAACAATCATATGGTATTTTAAATTATATACACAGGTAGGAAATTTATCCCCAAAATATAGAAACTGTTAGTTTAGTCTCTGCAGTTTAGACCAATCTTTCTCCCTTCTCGCTAGCCAGAAACGATTCCACAAGCATTTCTTCTCACGTTTATATTAAACATAATACAAACCAATAATTGTAAGAGCTAAGAATTCATCGTCCAAGTTTTCAAAGGCATCTTTTTGTTGTTTTGGTTTGGCTCCAGCCACTCCACTGCGGTTCCAGCGACAATAGTACTCCCGCCGTGAGCACACTTCTTGAAAATTGTTGCTTAAGCCACAGGCGCTAGTGGTAGCCGAAAGTGAAACTTGCCGGTACAAGTGTCCGTGTTTCGCCGCCTCATGAAGAAAAGACGAGGAGAAATCTACCTAAGACCCAGTAATGCAGATCAGACCAGTGGAAAACTGGCCTAAAATTAATGATTAAATGACAAATATGGGACAACCGGAAACTGGCCTTAAACTAAGATAATGACTGGAAGACGAGAAAGGGGAGGAACTGGCTTAAAAATAATAAAGATAAATGCTTTATTTTTCATTTTCACTTATTCATTTGCCACCAACCTTCACAACATCGAATGGTGAGGCTATATACTTCCCTCAACATCACATAATTCAACAATAGTTTTTCTCATACATGAATATAATACGCATATAATATATATATATATATATATATATATATATATATATATATATATATATATATATATATATATATATATATATATATATATATATATATATATATATATATATATATATATATATATATATGTAAAACACTTACACACTACTTACAAGACTAACAATCATATAATTAGGGATAACTTTAAGCACCGGAACTATTCTCGTCTTGCCACACCTGCACACACGTGTTTATTGCTGTCTCAGGCGTAGCTGACCACCGTAGTCTTGTACTCATACACTTGTACCTTCACAGTAGTCAAACTTGTGTGTTGTAGCCCTTTCCTCTGCCCCGCTCTTCTTCAAAAGACCTTTATACACATTTATTTCCCTATAAAATCCCGTTATAAACTGTCTCCCTATATATAACCCTGTTTAACACTTCCTATACACCTGCTTTAAACATAATTTCTTTCCATCCATTTACACAAGCCCTTTCCTCTCTCCTGCTACCGCTTTGCAAACTTTCTACTGTATTTCTATTCTATCCGTTTAACATTTTCTTTCCTTGCAACTGAAGACAATTATTTCCTGAAATACTCTCTCTCTCTCTCTCACTCTGACACTCTTTTATAAGTGCACACAACATTAACAAACTTTACTTTAATATTATATGAAAGTCTCTCTTCCTGTGTTAAATCTTTTTTTTTTCAGTACAAATTTAAGTGTATAATTAGATTATAAGAATACATATTTTCATCGTTACAATCTTCAACAGGATAACTAGCTTTAACACGTATTTTCTAAGTTTTAAGTTGTGTGTCTGTATGTGTGTGTTCACATCGTTTTCCTATAATGTTTACTTGAAAAAAAATGTCTAGAACTCGAGATGCATCAGTGTAAACACAAATCTTTTACCTTACATTATTTTCCCATAAACTTGCCCAGTTTCATTCATCCTTCTTTTCACTATTTAAAATCCATCACTTGTCATAATTATCTCATCAGTTGTAATTGACCTTCCTGGGCCCTCATGGTTACGCTACACAACTGCTGCAGGAACATAATAGTTCTGGTGAACATTTCACTCAAGCACCTTCCAGGTATAATTCTTGATCAACAAGCATCAAGATGCCCAACCAACAGAGAAAGTACCAGGAAACTTACGCTCGCGACCAATGACCATTAACGATATCTGTGTTATCGTCTAACAAGATCACACCACACGCATAGTTTACCTCAGTAACCTCAAACACTGGGTTTCTGAACTCGCGCATCCCGTGCATAGAATTATGGATATATATCATGTAACACCTTCCTCACATGGAGGGGAGGGTTCCTCCTGTTAGGCTGGAAGTCTGTCAGCTTGGTGTACTGTGGGGGTACTTAGTGGGTCAGGTTTTTTCTGCTCAACCGTTAGACAGAGCTGTGACAGGAAGCCACATTGGCGTTACCAGGGATTGAACCTGGGCCTAACCACTCTACTACCGAGTGAACAGAATTATTGATACACCATGATATGTCTATCAACCTGATTATTTAAATCTTGGGAAGCTAATTATTGATTAGCTACACTATTAGATTATTCAGGCTAGCGGATTATTTAAATACTAACCACTCCACTACCGAGTGAGTAGAATTATGGATACACCATGATATGTCTATCAACCTGATGACTGTAGTCTAATCTTGGGAAGCAACTTATTTATTAGCTAGGTTATTATATAATCCAGGTTAGCACAATAACTAAGTACTTAGATTATTCTGATTTTGAAATTAATATAATTATTTAATCTAGTTATCAGATTACCAAGTTCAGATTATTTAATTATAATCGTGTTAGTGCTGTTAGTTGCGTTATTAAAGTATTTAAGCTTCCTGGTTAATTAATTTAGTTTACTTAATATCTCGACTTAGCATAGTTTAACCTTCAAAATAATTCAATCATCCGAGCACCAGGATTATTTACTTCCAAATTTTATGGTCACAAAGGACTTCGAGAGTGTTAACAAACTGTCTGATTATCATATAACATTAACAACACCATAGATGTAAACTTATAAATATCTAAGTTTGAAAATCAGCAAATAATCCACGGTGTCATACTGTGAGACGACCTTGTATGTGTGTCAGAAGTAAGTGTTAACACCTGCAGCACACATCATAATAAAAAAAATCTAAAAAAGAAAAACTGTTGGCAGATTTGTGATTAGAAATAAAGCTGAATGATAAAATTTGTCGTCATAAAGAGACCAGAGAATAAGGTTTGCCGTTATAAAGTTAGTGGTCCAGTCTAGTAAGTTATCAGAAATTTCCTGAAAGTCTTAATAGCGTTTGCAATTTCCTAATAAAGTCAGTAATTTATATTATTAAAATAAATAACCTAGATAAAAGTTCTCGGTAAATAATAAAAAATAAATAAAATAATAATAATAATAATAATAATAATAATAATGGGTAAAAAAATAAAGACAAACTTTTTTCAAAAATCAAAGAATGATACAACTTCAGACCTCATCTTACTGGATTGTGAACATTTGAAAGTTCCAGTTAACCTAACAGGTGTATTCATGATTCTGAGGTTACTCCACAACAAGTTAACCGTATTTTGTTATTGAAAAAAAAGATGGATTTTTCACGAGTTATGTATGGGATCTAACTAGGAAAAGCATTCCTACCAGAAGAATTATCCCAATCTTTGTGCCTAGTTTGACTTATATAATACCTACTACGAAAGTGAAGATGGGTCCAAAAGGGGGAGTGTGGATACAGCACACCGTATACTAAGCCCTTTATTGGTACACGAGGAGACAGTGTGACCGGCACTGCACTCAAATGAGTTCACTTCCCCAACTATAAAGTTAGGTACCCATTCACAGCTGGGTGAACTGGGGGATACCCTGGGTGCAGACCAGTGGCCCTAAGGACAGGAAGCGAGCACTGTATCCATTCGGCCAACGCACCCCATATAATACATATAATACCTATAACATTGTTTAAATACAAGCCTGATTCAGAGCCAAATCCAGAGATCAGTGGTCAAACCTGCTATGACATCTTATAGGAAAATAAAGCACTGCAGTCTGGGATGATCTGCCATGTTTAATAAAATTTTGAGTTGTGCGAAAATCATGTCATAGCAGATAACGTCCATTAACCTAGTTATTGGGTCTGAGGTAAGGACTACTTGGGTAATTAATAGTTCATAGGGAATCTGGACACAAAGACACCTGCACCTTGTGGGAGAACAGGTGAGTTGAATTTTAAGGCTACATTCCATATGTAGCGTCAACGCTCTAGATCCAATGTACCTGCAGCCATTTAACAGAAACTATAAACTAGGCTAGGCAAGGCCTTGTACATTGACAAAATCTAATTAGCTATTTACTATTTGCTTTCGCTATTATCACATGCATCATCATCCAGTAACAATCTTTTTCTTATAATTTCAAAATATTCTTTAATTGGTTTCTTTGGAATTTCAACTAAAATATATTTCTTAATACTGATAGTGAAACAGCAATAGTTATCAGTGATTGACTTCAATAAAAAAATTACCATATTATTGTAAAAAAGAAGTAGTTTTGTAAAAATATGGAGATTTCAAAAGTTGCGACTAGCGCTGGAAGAAGCCAACACGACGATGAAGAGGATGGAGCCAAGCACCAGGGCGTCACATCGTCCACGCCCACCCGGCTGAGAAGTCAGGCCGCTCACCTGCGCCGCCGTCGGGGTTGAAGTGGGCGTAAGGGCGGAGGTCACTGTAGGTATGAGGGCGGAGGTTAGTGTGGGCGTGAGGGCGGCAAGAAGGGCAGCCAAGAGTAGCTGGGTACTGCCGGAGTGTCTGGAAGATGCGGAACTGCCTGTGTTGCAGTAAGACTCTGAGCAGCAAGATGTGCACGAGTATATCTGCGAGACGAAAAGTTTCCAATTAGTCATTTGTAGTTAATAATATCACTTTCCTAGGTTACATCAATAATAAACATCATTCACAAGATATCTCATTGTTCCACCTCCCATAATGGAGAACTTGTAACCACTCTGTTTTGTCTACCTTGGTTCTGTCACCGATCACCATGCAGGAGGGGTTGCACACAGAGGCACACGTCCGATTAACGCTAAAGTCCATCTCCTCCGCCCCTGTCTCCACCACGTACCAGATTCTCTGCACCTGTGTTTAGAAATTCTAATCAATATTCTGCTCAAATAGTCTGTTATATTTGTACATTTTATATACTGACAACATGATTCAGCTATTGCAATGGTGATTACAAATAAGGTGATCAATGGAGGAATTTAGTCACTCTTATATTTAAAATTTTTAGAGATTAAATAATAATTGTACATGCACTAGTGGATTAAGCTCAATTCACCTTTGATCTTGAACTTAATTGGTCTTTGGAGTAAGGTAACGTTGAAGATAGATGTTCCATTTCATCTGTTAATGATCCATGAAGTAAGGTAACCATCAATGACCTACCCAAGGAGCAATAAACTGGCGACTGCGTGTGTCTGATCCCAAGATTAGTCTACTCTCCTAAGACAACCTCGTGATTACTGTTAAAACCTGAGAGCTATATAAAACACGAGACCGGGTAGCTGTTACTTAACGTACAGTTTACACCTGCTAAGACTAACCCATTACGAAATCAGACTCTAGTACCAATGCCTGACAGCCACTAGCCATATTTTCATTTTCCGATTACACTCTTACTGTAAAGATACCAAGTGTCCTGGTCTCATTTATACTGTACACTGGGTCATTAGGCTGTTGGGCTCCACTTATCTAGGCATTGTAAAGTTGGTAAGAGGAAGTTTTTTATATCTGTTGTTTATTCATTTCTTAAGTGTCTCTGTTCAAGGTTGTAAACAGTAAAACAGTGGAGAGATCGGCTATATCTAGTGCCATTTGTCTTAACTTCATATGACAATAATCCATTATACTAAACAGTGGAAGATGAACAGCATCAAAAAAGGCAACGTAAAAATAAGGACATTCAGAAGAGAAAGGGAGAAGATAATTAAAAGTATGAAGTGGAAGACGAAAATAAGATGACTAAGAAATATGCAGAAAAGATCAAATGAAAGCAATATGTAACTTACCGTGCAGTAGGTCTGGTCCGGGGTGCAGTTCCTTGAAAGTGAGGAAGGGAATGTGAAGTTATCATGGTCGAGGCCGTAGCAGTCGGAGCCGTGGGTCTTGGAAGAACACGCCCAGCATGTTAGTGGTTCCCTCCCCACTACCACACCCACCATCCAACTCGCCACAGCCAACACCATCACCATCTTCCTCCCACCACTGCCATCACCCGCTGCCCTCCCTGTGGTGATACTCGGGATTAGTTATTCCTGGGGTGATGGTGAGTTATATATGGTGATTGTTGTTGAATGATAAATAACAATAAACTCATTTGCCCAAGTATAAAGCTATTCCGTAAGAAAATATGAAACAAATATTTACTTATTTATAGGAATGAATGGAGCCCAGTTCATGGCAATTATATTTGTAATGGCACAGGTGCTGAGGAGTTGAACAAAATACGTACCCTACCCTGGTATACTGTACAGGTGGTCAGTGTATGATAATATAGTACAAATATATAGGATTACACCCTGAAATATCACAGTAAATACAGTAAATGAGGTAGTGTTGCTGATCGTGCAACAGGTTCGGATTCGTTAACAAGTTCAGAGACATTATCGCGCCGTTATCCGGTTTATAAGTTAAGCACATCAACTCAAACACGTTCGTCAACAAGAGTGCGGAGTTTAGAACTGGAATGATGAGCTTACAGTATATTGTACATTTAACAGAATAAAGATATTTGGGGTGCTTATGATTTTAAACCTCAATCAATTTTCCCTTGCCTTTTTATATTATGAACTGAGTAATTGTAATTGAGGAGTCTGAGTGCCAATTTTCGGCGATCTATACTTCCTGTGACCTACAGTCCTACACCACTGTCCTTGAGTACTAGTTCTGCATAAGTTGTATACGAGCGCAGTAATTTGTATGAATAAAGACCGCACGTCCATTTACAAACTAATGTAAGCTACAATGTTATCTTAATACCTCCGGTGTTTATACCAATAGATCGATTCAATTAAATATCAATATTGTATTTACTGTTCGAAGAGAAGCCCAATTTCCTAGCACTGCTTCCTTTACGAAATCATGTCATACCACAAAATAAAAGAACGTGTTTCATGTACTAAAGATTTATCCAAAATATATTTATATAAAAATAAATTTGAATTAGTATTGTTGTAATAAAAAATAAATACTACATTTTAAAAAAATATGTAAAATTGTTGGAATAAGCAGACATTCTTACACTGACTCAACGTTCATAAAAATCACAAGCCACCGACAATACAAGACACCGTTTTGGGGGATAGGCGTCCATAGGCATTTTCATTTCAATGTCCAGTATACAGTCGGCACATCAGCGTCATGTTCACCACTAACTACCAAGAAACAGATGGCACCGATAGCGATATGCGATAGCGACTATTTCACCATTTATGTGTTTTAGATATCATGTTTGAGCAATAATTTTCGTCAATATTATGTTTACTACAAATTGTCCGTGATAATTATGTTTAAACTCCACCAGTGTAAGTACAGGAGGAAGCCAGTGCACGGAGAACACCTGTAATAATCGATAAGGTCACACTGGGTTACATCTGACCCATGATTGAACCCTAGTATCACACAAGCTTAATCTTTTCACAATGCCATTCATTTTATAGCATCCACTTCTAGTCTTGTTTCATTTCGTGTCATTATTGTCACTATCATTATTTTTTTATTCTATTTTGAATTTCCGATTTTTTTTTAATTTAATTTTCATGACAAGGTTTCTCTCCTCATCATTTCCATAGATACTAACATATGACGCTTCTTTTCAGTGTATATTCCTTTATTTTTCGTTTGTTAACCACTTTTAGTATTTTGTCGGTCCATTTATAATTTTTTTTATTGTGCTCACTGACTTTGCGCAGCACAAATATTCCCATTCCCACCACATCCCTACCACATCTTGAACCAGCAGACTTAACATACACTTCTCCATTCGTATATTTTGTTTCACTTGTAATCATATTCTTTAATTTCAGTATTCACTTGTCGCCTACTTGAACTGATATAAGTAAACCCGCCGTCCCTCCCTCAACCATCACTTTTCCCAGTACTACCTGTTAACGCCACGGACACCCACAACAGTAGGCGCAAGATGAGCTGTTTTTGGCACATGTTTCTTCAGTCCACCTGGCGTCACGTCACCTCTATATTCTCCTCTCTTATTCCCTGAGTCATTTCGTACTTGAATAGACACCAAAGAGGTCTCCAAATATCTCTACAACGTCTCAATTGTTGACCCTACGTTGCTTCCGTTCGCGGGTTAACCTCAGGCCTCCTACCAGATTGGGCGAAACCAATACTAGCGGAGATGTCTTTGGTAGAGAGTGGGAGTATCATAGTCAGTATGTTTCGTCGCTTTAATCTTTTTAAAAACGTATTTTTGCATAATAATTATAGTTTTGTATTAATATAAACAGACTAAAATTACTGTAATTATATTTTTAAAGATATATATATAATTTCTTCTACAGCTTCAACAAAAGCAAGATATCTTCGTTCGTATTTCTTTTTGTGATTATTGATTCTAATAGAGGATGCGCCATGTGCGATGATCTGCTTCAGCGAGAGAAATAATAACTCTCTTTAGTCAACCATTAGCATTATTTTACTAAGAACTTATCTTTATTTCAATGGGTAATCGTGCGTACCTCCCTCTAGAACTAAATAAAGACAGCATTTAATTCCGAGCTTGGGACGGTAGCACTCTCAGGCACGCCCAGGTAGAGCTGTTCACCAATACCAGTAACTCTATCATTAACACCAGCTGCTTTCATGGCATTTAATGACAAAATTGGTTATATCGTACAAGATTTAGTTATTCATTGCTTCGTATCGTCGGAATTTGAAGCTTATCTCAATTTACCAATAGCATATTTTAAGTGTGAAGGTTATGTGTGTTTTATGTATGCTTTATTGAGTCCATACTGACAGCCATATAGGGACGAATCAATTTTTTGTAGCTTTGTTTTGTTTCGCTCTTGGTAGTTATTATTAGTGTACACTTTACCCTTATATTTCATATTTATTTGATTGTATGTAAATTTAATATACTGTACGGTTACACTAGCAGGAATGAGACGAACAGTTTAACGGGTCGGTGATCAACTTTATTACCTGGTTAATCTTTAGGTGAAATTAGCTGGGGTGAAGGGATAATGTTAAGTTAGGAAAAATTAGTTTAGGTAAGCGCTAAGTTAGTTAATCTTTAGGTGAAATAAGCTGGGGTGGAGATTCTTCAGGTGAACTATATATCCTACATTTTCATATGCCAATTCACTTTTTCTTTTCGACGTAGACAAGCCGTCAGATATATTCCTGACAGAGTGATGGATTTGTATTGTCATTTTCGTTTTTGTCTTTGAGCCTTAGGTATCTCTCCTGAAGTCGGCGTGGCACATTTCATTGTGTCAACCTGTCATTGTAGGTTCATCACATTCCAAGAATAGTCCTATCAGTTGGTTTCCAGTAACATGGCGGGTGCCACATCATCAATATTGTTTGTAAAGTGAAAACACGAGAAGTATAATATAAAAATTATTAATTTTTCGATGTGTGGTCTTGTAAATCACTCTTTGAATACTCTAAAATGAGCCTCAAGTGCAGGCAAGCAGGGGATACAAACTTAGCGATGTCACTCATTCTCGAAGAAGGTTACCGAGAGATCAGCGAAAAGAGAATGAAATGAAAGGCCCAAAATATTAATTTAAGGAAAGGAAAATATGATTATACAGTACCTGTATATTTAGAAATTTAATAATTCTAAATTAGGTCTTCCAATTTAAGATATATCACATTTAAATTTGCCCAACAAGATTATGAGTTTAAAAGTAAAAGGGATATATATTTATGAATGCTCATATATTTTTAATTATAATCCATAGATGCAGTAATAGAAATATAATTATGTTACCGTAAATTACTGCACTTGAACAGGAGCCTCGCGGGAGCTGACAGTCACTTGTTCTCAAAATGGTAAGTGTACACAAACGCTGAGTAATTCTTGTCATAGTGAGGCCGGTGCCAACCAGTTACCGTAGTTTGCTTCTGTCATAATGGTATGTTAGGGTTAAACTATGAGAAAATAGTGAGTGATTAATGCGAGGAGTTGTGGGAGGACAGATAATATGTGTGAGGCCATGGCAGTTACTTACTTCATATACAAAATAACTCGTACTTAGTTTTTGCCTTATAAGATTGTAAACTCTTGTATGTTGGGGATGAAATTCCGATAGTGCATACCTGGGGAATTATTATTGTTTAGATCATCCCCGGGAATCTTAGGTATTAAGGTTAGGTTAGGTTAGTATAGGTCCTGAGTTGTGTGGCTTGGTTAGGTTAGGGTAGGTGAGGTAAGAGTAATAGGTATTATCGGTATTTTGTTTTACAAGTAAGCAACTAACGAACCTAACACAACAGGTTAGGTTGGTTTTGGTGGTTTTTTGTTGTTGAGCAATATGATCAACAAAAAATCTTTTGTTCTCCACTTGTAAAAATTTACCGTATTATTGTTTCGGTCATCCAGCGAATTTTAGGATTTTAAGTTTAGGTTAAGTTAGGTTGGGTTAGGTTAGGTTGAAGTTATGTTTTTTCCAATGTTTTTTGAAGTTTTTTGAACAACTTCCAAGTAGGTGGGGATGACTGAAACGATAATTTTACCCATACCTGGTGATAAGAAAAATCCAGGAGCGAAAATTGAACTAAAGAATCCCATAACACACTTGCTATAGTTAATATTGGGAACAATATTACGGGTTAACCATGGGAAGGGCCTTTTTAGGAAACATTTCAGTCAATTTATAATTGACGACTTAATTAGAACCTTGGGAATTTTTCTTTGCAATCAATGTTTTAGATAATTCTATGATACTTTTCTTCAGTGATGATTCCCTCAAAAATGACTTGACCTAACCGGTCAGACCCACCGGTATATTATAAGTCTAGGACGTTCCATTAATCTGTGGCCTTATATACTGTATATTTCAACAGGCTCGTCGCTATGATTCTAAAACGACCATCTTCTCCCCGGAGGGAAGGCTGTACCAGGTGGAATATGCAATGGAAGCCATTGGTCATGCTGGTACCTGTTTAGGTATTCTGGCAAATGATGGTATTGTGTTAGCTGCTGAGCGTCGGAACACCAACAAGCTCCTTGATGATGTGTTCTTATCTGATAAAATTTACAGAATTGATGCGTGAGTATACAGTACTGTTTTTTAATTGCTGTCCATTGACAAACCTTTTCCCATAATACAGTACAGTACAGTGAATCTTGAAGGTTAATAAATTTCTTTTCTGCAGTGCTTCACACACCTTTTCTCTTGGTCAATAATGTTTTCTTAACACCCTCCAGTATGCTTGGACCTTTGTTGGGAATCATTACAAATCAATTTAGGGCTTCCAAGTAAAGAAGAGATTGTTTGGAGAGATGAATGGAATGTCTTCTCACTACACAGTATACCCCAAGAACATGTTCATTAGCTGTTTGCTGTGAATTTAAAAAAGGCTAAGATAAAGTTTGAAATTTCCACAAATCATGAATGTAACCTATACAAAGTAAAGTAAATTATGATTGTTATAAACTTTTAAATGTTTGGTTATATTTGGTACTACAGTTAATCTTCCTTAAGTTGGCCTATACAGGGATTAAGCCAGTTCGACTGAGAGGTAATAACCTCTCTTGGTGCCCCTTAATGTCAGATATGTTGTCTAAATACTTAAAAAAAAAAAAAGAATGAAATGTATATATTTTACTCAAAGAAATAATAACAACTGAAGTGTCAGGGCACTTACCGTTTCTCATATGATTACTGGAGCCTTGGTGGGTGGAGAGAGGCACTGCACTTTGGCTAATCTGACATGCTTAAAATTAAAGTAGAAATATGTACACTACTGTATTACACCAAACTTAATTACACTACAGGGTAAACTTAGTCACAGTAAGCTTAAATTTAATCACTTAAAAATACATGCTGTACAGTAAGCACTATTCAATGATTTAATCACTGCTGGATGCCATCACATTATCTAGCAGTTTAGGTATCACAGAAAGATCAGAGTTGGAGACTAGTGACTTGATAGGCCCTTTTAGCATTTGAGGGCCGAGGCTTGTCAACTGCTTCACTCTTGAAGGAGGATGTAAACAGAATAAAATGTGTGGTAGAAATGCTGTGCTTTTTAGGCTGCTTGGGTAGTGGCTTGAAGAGGTCATGAATCTTGACTTGCCTTTGCTGTGCATGCTGTCAGCATATTACTAGGCTCCTGAAGTCCCTGATTACATAATAATAATTCTGAACCTGTGTATCATCAAGAGTATCCATCTATGCAGGAGCTTTAGCCAATCCCTCCTGTACTGAACTTTTTAAAAAACAAAATTATTGCTTTACTTACAACTTAATCAGACTTGTCTCTTTCAAAGAACTCCCCTCCACTGTTGATACACCGCTCTCAATGTTTTTTCCAGTTCTGGAATGCGTTTTGAGGGATGGTGTGCAGGTCTCTTAGTGAATTTTCTTCTATCCCTTCTATCATTTGAAATCGGCAACTGTTCAGTGTAGATTTCAACTTTTGGAAAAGAAAAAGTCCGCAGGGGCCAAATCCGGAGAGTAGGGCGGCTGGGGGACAATAGTCGTCTCGTACTTCGCCAAAAAGTCACGGACAAGGAGCGACGCGTGAGCAGGTGCATTTTCATGGTGCAGCATCCAGGTCTTGTTTGTCCACGCCTCAGGCCTCTTCCTTCGCACTGCCTCCCTCAAACGCTTCAGGACCTCCAAGTAAAACTATTTACTGTCTGACCACGTGGAACAAACTCATGATGAACGACGCCCTTCCAATCAAAAAAGACGATCAACATCACCTCCACATTTGAGCGACTCTGACGTCCAGACTTGGGATCGTCTTCGGTGGATGTTCTTCCCCTTTTGAAACGCTGGTACCACACGTGACATTGCGTACGACTCAAACAATCCTCTCCATAAGCCTGTTGCAACATTTGAAAAGTCTCCTTAAAAGTTTTTCCCAATTTGAAACAATTTCACGCAAACACGTTGCTCTTCAAGATCCTTCATTGTTCAACTCGCAACAAATCGCCAAGTGCACTAAACACACGTTCACTCTAGCGTGTGTAGCTCGATGACTAACTGACGTGGCGTGATGCAGCTAGTGCTAGACTGAAGGTCAAGGTCACCGCTACACAGAGCTCCCATCGTGAGCACGCTGCGCCGGCTCGTTGGCGCACTATTTAAAAATATCGGTTTCTTTTTGGACAGACCTCGTATATGTGCTAGTAACTTGGACTGAGTCCGACTTGATGGCAAATCTAACTTAGGGAATTTTACTGTACAGGTACAGTATATGTACAGTACCTCTATTTCATGTGATCAAATTCAGTGTTGCCATATTTGTCATTTTTCATCAAGGGCAGATTGTATACTGTACTGTATGAGTGTATGTACAAGTGTATGGTAAACGTCTTGATAACACTGTCTACTAAAAAAATTTATGGTTATCTGGTGCTGTGCCAATGTATCACAAATTCTGACGAATGAGATGCGAGTTATGTTTTTGTTTTTCACTGTATACAGGTATTCATAATGAATAGTAATATTTGCTCCCCACAGGGATATGGCCTGTTGTGTGGCTGGTATCACTTCTGATGCTAATGTGTTAACAAATGAACTTCGTGCTATTGCACAGCGACACACTCTTCTGTTTGGTGAACCCATCCCTTGTGAGCAGCTTGTTATGAGACTGTCTGACATCAAGCAGGCTTACACACAATATGGAGGTATGCCTTTGATATCTGTTTTGTTAATGCATGTACAGTACTGTATTCATCTATTTACAATGTCTATTCACCCTTTTTTATCATTAATCTTTTGTTTTATTGAGTGATTGTTGTTTGAATGTTATGAAATATCGGGTAATGTTATTAATAGATCTTTGGCAGAACAGTAAATAGGTTATGGAATGCATCCCTAATCTTGTTTACATTTCATTAGTTCTTCATTTTATGGGATTTCAACTTCAGCAAACTTTGGGGTTCTTCTGAATATAGCCATATTAAGGCAAAGTATGAATTTTTAAGGTTTTTGACTGTACAGTTCTCTACTTATAATGAAGGGAGTGGTTGATGAGTTGATGGTACAGAATAAATCTTGAAAATATCTCACCATATGAAGATGCAAGAGTCCGGTAGTATATATACCCCAGTACAGTATATGTAGAAGAAAGCCATAAATTGGTAAAGGATTTTATGAGTGGAGAAATCTACAGAAGTGAACTAATTCAGCGTTGTGAAAGTTTTTCATGGGTCACTGCATAACCAGATCTTATAGGTAGTGGTACACATGATAAAACATCTATCATATTGCTTAAAAAAAGGTTACATGGTTCCAATTTTAAGATTGGCACCATCTTCATTTCTCATTCCAAATGGTAAAGAATTAATAAACTTATCAATTGCAAAGTTTTTGTGATGTAGTCTTAGTTTCATGGTTGGTCTTATTGGATACTAGGGGAATTATTAAGTAGTGTTTGAATTTAATTAAATGTTTTTGTTAATGTAGATGTTACAGTAATTTGTTGCATAGAAAATAGTTAAAGATGCAAGTTATTGCTAAGCAGGATTTTTAAAGCTGGATTGTTTCTTTACAGGAAAACGACCATTTGGAGTATCAATTCTATATATGGGTTGGGACGGTCGTCATGGGTACCAGCTTTATCAGAGTGACCCGTCTGGGAACTACTCTGGTTGGAAGGCCACATGTATTGGCAATAGCAGTGCGGTGAGATATTACACTTGTTTTCTGTGTTCTTAATGGATTTATTACTTCTGACATGTAGTTTTATTTATTTTTTTTTTTTTTTTAGATATGACTGCTGGTAATGATGGTGAACTTTGTAATTATCAACCTAGAATAAAAATCAATTGGGAAGCTGTTACCTAAATGAATGAACACTTCATCTTTAGGATCAAATTATAGTCACAGGCTTTCTGTGAGTGACTTATGATTTCACATTTGACACTCTTGCACACCATGACTCGATATCCGCGTCAGTCTTTTGTCTCGTCCTATTATGATTGACGCGTGAAATTTTGGCGCGCCACTCCTCGAGCTATTCTCTCTCATGGTAATCCAACACAAAATAAATACAGTATATAACAACCCCTTCTAGTACGAGGGTTGAGCACTTCCTGCAGTCAGACCAGAATGTGCTGCACTTTCCCTTCAAATTTTCTCCCTTGTCCTGCTCACACACTCGTGGCCTCCATTGTGCATTAATATTTGCCTGTAAAGTATTTATTAGTTTAAAAAATTATTAAATAGTATATTTTTCAATATCTCTGATTCTAACTTGTAACGGTTGTTTGTGTTTAAACTGCTAGGAATGGATTTTTTATTCTGAAATCACTTAGTCAAACCATTTATGCTGTGCTAGCAAAATTCTAAAACCTCCATAACATACATACTCACCTATATTATTATTATTATTATATTAGCCCGTTGCATAACAAAAAATAAAAAAAAGTCGTTTTGGACATTGACATTTCCAGATGTATTAACCAAAATTTTTTTTATCAAGGAATGTCAATGGTAAACAACGTTACAAATAAAATGAACTTGGGAAATGTGTTAAATTAGCCAAAATATATATTGTATGGCTCCTCTTACAGCATGATTACAGTACAGTACAGAATTGCAAAGAGTGGTGCAAGTCTAGGTGTTAGATGTCTCCATCCTTGCACTGGAGGTCAACTAATAATACTGTACCTGTATTCTTATTTGATATTCATTAAATGTACTTGTAAATTGAACAGTAATTTATTAATACAGTACAGGTATAAGGGGTAATGTAGAAATTCATAATAGGTGTTTGCCTTTTATTTCAATTATTTTTTGTTTTTTCAGGCAGCTGTGTCCATCCTGAAGCAGGAGTATAAGGTGGGTGAGACAGACCTGCACCAAGCCCTCTTGCTGGCTCTGAAAGTCATGAGTAAGACTCTAGATATGACAAAACTAAATGCTGAGAAGCTGGAGTTTGCCACACTTGTTAGGAAGAATAACAAAACTGTGATTAATGTTATCTCTGTGGATGAGGTAAAGGACCTAATTAAGGAACATGAACAAAAAGAGGCAGATGCTGAGGCAGCCAAGCAAGACAAGCAGTCAGGTGCAGGGAAATCATCAGACAAGAAGTAACAAGAGTAACAGTATGAATCACCAGTGCATTGAGTATCATTTATAGTCCTTTATTCTGAGGAGCAAAGCTTTAGCTATAATCTTGTAACTTATTTTTGTGAGTTATACACAAGTTTAACAATGTTGATCTTTTTTTCAATGTTAATGCTCATTATGCATCTGCTTATGATGCATGACAGATTGTATGAGAATTAGTTATATTCTTCATATGATGAAAACTTTTAATAAAAAATTACAATAAAACCCAGTATTTTACTACTGATATGAGATGAATGTGATATTGAATTCTTATCATAATGAAATAAGGTATCTACTGTATATCTTATCTATTATCAGCTGAGTTCTTCATGTATGGTTCCCTGCTTTTCTATCTGTACACCCATGTTCAGCTCCCTCTCCTCCGCATTCTCCCTCAATTTAGCCTTCCATTTCTCTCTATATCATCATTGTCCTCTACTTAGTTGACATCAGTCTGATGGGTATAGGTCGGTCATATGTAAGTTTCACATGTAACTGCCCTCATTATAATGGGCTATTGTATATTCTGTTATATGGAGGTTTCACATCTAACAAACCTCGATATAATGTACTACACTTCCCATATAATCCGTTAAAGGTCTCACTATACCTGATGCTTTCTTATGGTTATTATGTAAGGGTCTGGGTAATGGTTGTGGGTTATTACTCCCTAAAGAGGTGTGGTGATGGTGTTCAAGGCAGTATTGTCTACCGATGATCACTTAAGAGTTTGTTCTGTGTCTTGTCTTCATTGTAAGTTAGTATTTTGGAAAAAAGGAACTGGTAGGAATTCAAATCCTGTTTTCATCATCGAGTACTCACACACGCACGCACACAGGATTACCACCACTAAGTTTCTCGGAGCATTTACAGAATTACGCAAAATTGCAATTAGACCAAATACAGGACCTATTTATCCTCTTGGGGGGGAAGTACCAGTAGATCTCCTGGGTTTCAGCACCTGTTAGAACACATTCATAACACCAACAAGTTCATGTACACACTAATATCAACACAAGATCACAACACTAACTTGGCCTATGTTCAACAAGGTACACAAACATCTGTATTAACACCCTATACATCTGAATACTGAACTCTGAACCAAAAATTTATACTGGAGTTTATTTGAATTTGTTTTACTCCCAACTGAACCCTGTAGAGCTGATGGTGTGATGCAGACATAAACATGGAGTTCTCTTTGTCCCTAATGAGTTGCCTATTTTCAGTATATTTACTCTTTATCAAAATAACAACAAATGCACAAATGAGGGGATTGGAATAGGGGGTGAGAAAAGAGGAGGAAGAAGAGAGCTGGTGAGAAGATGAGAGAGGAGGGGAGGTAGGAAGTGCTAATGTAAACAAGCGAACTACTGAACAATAAATAACTCGACGTCAAATGAATTATGTACAGTTGGTCGCAAGAATAAGTATGCACCTATGGTTTGTGTTTGAGAAAATATATCTGGTAACACTGTCCTGAACAGAACAGACAAAATTACAAAATGACCTGTGATATATGTTTTATTCCTACATATATGTTGTAAATACATTTGTTGTGAATGTTTTACTAGTGTCTTGTACTTGTATTGGGGGATTGCTGGCCACTTCGCCTTTGGGCTATTTCGGCCGGAAGTGTCTTGTGTTTATACTACAACTAATATATTGTATCCAATGATAGTAAACTTGTTGCCGAATGGGATTGCAGTTATCTTACAGCTCCCTCCTCCTCCTCCACTTTTTCTCTTACCCTACTTTTTTTTTTTTACTGATGTTTGGATTAGTAAAGGAAGGAAGAGGAGTAAATAGAGGAATTAAGAAGGGGAAACAGTAAATAGTTTAGAGGTAACAGATGGGGGGAGCTGAGTACCATCATGGGTCTGGATGTGCAGTTTCAACGTTTACCAGACCATTTTTGTACCTTACATCTACAGTGTGTATACTTATTCCTGTGGCCAACTGTACATGGCAGTTGCAATGTTAATAGTTTCATTTAATTTGGCTATAATCAATTATCTCCATTAGGTAGTCTCTGAATATACATCAAGAGTGGGGATTGGCTTTATCATGAATGGGGATTTACTCTGTCAATAGGTAATACTTAATATAATTTTTGAATGGCGTGTGTGTGATTTTTATTTATACTTTTTTTGGAAGTTGAGGGAAGGCTGAGTTTGGGTGTGTGGCGACTCTTTGGTAATCAATACTGAGAGAAAAAATAAGATAACTAGGAGAATGAGATAATTGTCGGTGTGTGTGTGTGTCAGGATAGAGAGACCGGAGGAATGAAAGACACAGCAATGGGATGAGAACAAACATACAGAATGAAATAAACAGACACAAAAGAATTAAGAAAATAAAGCATATAAAAAATCCCGACACGAAACACAAAGAAATCCGATATAAGGCCAAATAAAAGTCAAATTCTACCAAGAGATCGAAAAAATGGTAAAAAAAAATCGTGTTTATCCTACTGTAATTTCATATTTCTATTTATATACGGAAAAAAGATAATAAAAAAAACTTTATTACGTTTCCAGCGTACATATATATTTTTTGAGTATTTTAAACAAGACCTTGCTAATTGCCAACAATATTGGTTGCTTGAAGTGGGCAGGGAAAATGTGGGGTAAAACACTAAAAAGAACACCAAACAAACCTTTGAAAACCTAACCTAACATTTCCTAGCCTACCTTGTATACAAAAGACCAAAAATCGCTTTCGAGTTCATGGATCCTTTCCCCTCATCTGAACACCGAAACTACACCAACACATTAAGCACTGAAAACAAGAATAAGGTAAGTGCCTTGTAGCGGACTGTATGTGGCCAGTTGTCAATTCTCTTTAGTTGTCTATTGTCTCTTTGTATGGGCACACAAACGTACGTACATGTAGATATCTTCACTCTGGAATGAGGTAGGATAGAAACTCACGATGCGCTTTCTGTATATATATTGTTGTACAGCGCAGTGCTTAGGAGTAACTAGGTGAGGAGCTGAGAGAGATGTTGCTGGTCCAGTAGCTGAGTGTAGAGTGCCCTCCCTGGACAGGCATGGCAGTATTTATACAATTTACGAGGATCAGGATTTGGGATGCGTGTGGAGCGAGAGCCAATCACAGAGGAGAATGCCAGAAGTACCCGGCACTCTGATCCTGGCGTTGCTACGTGTGCTTCCGCACTGTGGAGTAGGTCTACCAGCATCGCTGGCTGTACGCTGATTGGCTGGTAGGCGTACGGGAGCTCAGTCATCAGTTGGATGTTGTAGGGGAGAGGAGCCACTACAATACTCCCCCTCCCCTCCCGGCGCGGCGGGAGGCTGGATGTTGTCCGGGTTGTGTCCCACACATAACACATACCGGGCAGGTGTACTTATGACTCGGCCGCTACGTGTAACAACTCCGTCTAGTGACACAAAACCTGTGGGAGAATTAGGGGGAGAAAGAGGGTTTGGGATTAGAGGAGGTTGTACAAGCAATGGTTGTTGTGCTCCTGTTGCTGCAGGGGCTGCGTCAGGAGGAGGGTCCATAGCAGGAGCAGGTTCTATGACAGGAGGGGGGTCTATGACAGGAGCAGGTTCTATGACAGGAGGAGGGTCTATGATAGGTGCAGGTTCTATGACGTGCAGGTTCTATGACAGGAGGAGGGTCTATGTCAGGAGGAGGATCCATGATAGCAGGAGGGTCTACTTATGGCAGGAGCAGGTTCTATGATATGACAGGGGTTCAGGACAGAACAGGGGTACCTGAGGGTGAAAAGGGTGCCCAGAAATGTAAATGAGCGTGGTGTTGCTGCAGTGGTAACTTCTTGGTCGACTGGTGCAAGCCGTAGTTTGTTGAGTGTGCTGCTGGGCTGGGGCTCAGCAGGTAAGGTGGCGGTTTGACTCAGTCTATGCTAACGGTGTCATGCCTGCCATTCTGGATAATCGTCAGGAACTTTGCTGAACGGTAACCACCTGGAAGGGTCCATCGTGGGGGCGTTGTAATGGGTTGCGGTGAGCATCGTGCCTGACGAAAACATCTTTCGGCTGTGAGTAGTGCAGGAGGGATGTGTACAGGGCGCCGAGGAGAGGCTGGCGTGGGGCAGTAGCTCTGAATGCAGAAACTGCTTATGCGTAGCTTTTGGAGTAGAAGTCGTGACGAAGCGGCAGGAGTGGTTTAATTGGGGGTCAGGAGGGAGTAGAAATCGGGTAGGCGAGAGGCTGCGCCTGGTGTAAGATCTGCTGGGCTACAGTCCATATCCTCCTTGTGTGGCCGCGGATGCCGGGAGCACTAAGGAGGCGCATCAGTCCAGCTGTAAGAATTCGTACTGTGTATGCCTTGGGCGTCCTTCAGCTGCCAGTGAAAACACTTTCACCATGCCGTTGGCTTGAGGGGTGGTATGCTGTAGTGCGTTGTCTAGACGTGCCGAGGCACCTTAGGAGGTGCTGCCAGAGTTGTGACTCAAACTGAACTCCTAGGTCATTGATTACGGTTGCGAGGGGAGGCAAAACAGGAAACAACGGACATGAAAGCGCGGACAGCAGTCTCTGCTGTAGCATTGGGCATAAGAATTGCTTCTGTCCACCTGGTGAAGCGGTCGTGCAGGTGAAGATAGGTGCTACCGTGGGATGATGGAAGAGGTCCCATGATGTCGAGAATGTACCACTTAGCGTCCTTTGGGAATAGGGAAGGTTTATGAGGAACCCATTATGTGACGATGTATTTTGGAGGGACAGCAGGCCAGACACTGGGCAGCCCATTTCTTGATATCAGACTTGATGCGGGCCAAGCGACCGCGTTGCTGACCAAGGCGCTGGAAACCCGCACACCGGGTGGCTGGGGTTCATAGATCGCGATTGAAAACAAGCCCAGCGGCTGTGGGCGTGAGGCACGAGCGGTCTAGGCTACCCACAGGATGTCGTCCGCACCCTGGTTTCTCGCCGATGCCAGGAACAGGGGAGTTCTTGAAGTGTATGAGCCTGAGGAATGTCTTGTATGCTGCCAGGTCTTAAGTCGTTCTCTTGAGCAGCGGCTAGCTGCCCATAATCAATGGGTGGAGGCCGGGGAAGAATGTTGGATATACGAGAGAGCATCGGCGATCTCGTTGTGGCTGCTGCTAATGTGTTTGGGCGTCGCTGGAGAACTCCGAGATGTAAGCCAAGTGGCGCAGGACCGCGAGATGTATGTGACTGGGGAAGCTGAAGCGAAAGGCGTGGGCGAGGGCCTGTGATCAGTGAAGATGGTGAACTGACGGGCCTCGAGGAAGTGCTGGAAATGTTTGACAGCCAGGTATATGGCCAGGAGTTCTCGATCAAAGGCGCTGTACTTGAGTTGTGGTGGGTGAAGCCGTTGTGAGAAGAAAGCAACGGGCATAAAAATTCCGTTGATCTCCTGCTGTAAGACAGCGCCCACTGCAGTAGAAGAAACGTCTGTTGTGAGAGTGGTCCGGGCGTTAGGTGCGGGGTGGGCCAGCAGGCGTCGAAGATGCGACGAGGATGTCGTCAATGTAGACGGTGACAAAATCGAGGTCGCGAAGCATATGGTCCATGAACCTCTGGAAAGTCTGTGCTGCATTGCGTAGGCCAAAACTCATGAAAGTGTACTCGAAGAGTCCAAACGGAGTGGTGATGGCTGTCTTCTGGGTATCTGCAGGTGCTACTGGGATCTGGTGGAAAGCACGCTCCAAGTCGATCTTCGAGAAGATAGTCTTGCCATGAAGTTTGTGGTGAAAGTCCTGGACATGTGGAGTAGGTCTACCAGCGTCGCTGGTTGTACGCTGATTGGCTGGTAGGCGTGTGGGAGCTCAGTCATCAGTTGGAAGTTGTAGGGGAGAGGAGCCACTACAGCCTTATAGTTTTAGGTTAGACCAAAGCTATATTTGTAGACCGCACGCCATGATAACCTTCTTTTTCTCCTCTACGGTAATTTTTTTTTACCCTTATTTTTACCTCCCCAGACCCCGTCATGACTTGTGCCCGGGTGGGCTATACCCCATAAAAACACACAGGTATAAGCTATTCCTAGAAACTAATTAGAAATGGACAATTAATTCATCTATTTCACGTGACAGATGAATAAAAAGTTCTCCCAAATTAATTAGGTGCCAATTCTCAAGTATGTAAACTTCAAACATACTGTAGGTACAAGTATACATTGTTTGACTTTATATCGTGTGAGAATTGAGAGTTAAATACTTCTTTTATAACCATAAAAAAATTCAAAGGACCTACTGTATTCTTTTTCGTAACATCTTGTTCTAGTACTAATTTACTCAAAGAAAAAATCTTAAATACCAAAAATCACGAAGGAGTATTATCCAAAACTAGTGAGTATTAGTTAAAAACTACAAAAGCTACAACATTCTCTGCATAAAGTATGTCACGTGATGATGGATTAGGGGGGGGAGGGGGAGTATCATGAGCAGCATATAAAACGGCAGGGTTGAGCACAGTGGCGGGCTGGAGAGTGTGACGCATATCAGTACAGTCACTTGTAGCACTCGCGCGAGTAACAGTTACCACCACTCGATCAATAACACCCCTCACTGTTCCTCCCATGTGTAGTGCCGCATTTAACCTAGATATTCTTGCACACAATTTATTAAACCTGAATGCTTTGAGAAGGGTAACTTGGCCAAGGTAATGTAAAAATAAGGCGTAACAAGTGACAGTGCGCGTGGCGTGAACTGGCTGGTGTGGCTGAAGGACCTGAAAGTAAACTATGTTGAGCAGTCAGTGATGGTGCGGTACACGGCAGGAATGACGGAACACTCGGCTGCAGAGGAGGGTAAGTACCTTAACCTTCACATACACTTATATATGATGGTGTATTTTTTATATCTTTTCAAACCAAAGGGTTAAAATGTGACTAATGAGAAAAAGTTATCTGGTGTTGATTCAGTGTAATCTTTTTACTCTTCCGGTGTTTGTGGCTTGGTGGTTTGTTCAATCAGATAAAACACAACTGATTTGTTTTGAGTCAAATGTGTGTATTGTTTGTTTTCTGTTAAGTATAATGAAGTGACGTGCACCTGTTCACAGTTTACAGTAAATTTAATCTACTCTACAATACTGTATAAACTCTTGGTAATTTAGCAGTTCATATTCCTATATTTTCTTAATACCGCTTGAAATAAAAGAATTTGAATAATACCCAGGAATGTGGGTGTATAATAGACCGTATTTATTTTCGCTGTGGATATTTGTCCGGTTGTTGGTTAGGTAGGTTTGTTTTAAGATTAACACCATGTGGAATTGATAGAATTGTGCAATACTGTATGGAAACGTAAATTACAATCCATTAAATATGTAAATGGAAACTAGATTCCATTCAGTGTCGTAGGTATGTTCTAAAAGATTTTTCTTGTAAGTTAGGTAGGGTTAGGTAACGTTTCCTCATGGTTTCGTCCAATTCTATCATTGGTGTTACTCTAAAATAACTACTGTACCTAACCAACAACCGGACAATTATCCATAGCCTATCTTTTTAAACGAAAGTAGAAGTTAACTGTTATTTTAGGGGAAATACTTGACAACTTTGGTTTGCCCTTGGCTCCAACTTGAGTGAATGTTTCCATAAAAGGTAAAAACTTTCGTACCTCGAGAAAATGGGAAAACAAAATATTACCTCAGTATACTTCACACATGATTAGTTTTCAGTCTGAAAAGATGTGTTTACATTATTTTGTGGTAAAAACATAATAGACTATGAAAATTAGCTTTTGTTATATACAGTATACAGTAAATGAGAAGTACTGTAGAGTGCAGGGTATGTGCAATAATACTAAACTCTATACATAGGCCTACTCATAAAATTATAGGTTTATATTCCCTGTTACTGTACAGCACATAATATTTTTACATATTAGATAATTATTTGTTTAAAATTGTTCAGGCAAATAATGTTGTGAATCATTAAAACATTTTCCTGTAGTTTGTTATTAATGCGTTATAATTACGCTATTTTTCCGTACAGGCTACTGGAAGCACCTGGGTGATTCAGAATAATTTGGTTTGTTGAGTACACTATTAGCACTACATTACTATATATCTTAATTCTTATTTTTGAGGGGGGGGGGGCAATGGCATTTTTATGCCGAGTACTTGTAGCGTACTGTATGTGGCCAGTTGTCAATTCTCTTATTATGGGCACACAAACGTACGTACATGTAGATATCTCACACTCAGGAATGAGGTAGGATAGAAACTCACAATGCGCTTTCTGTATATATATTGTTGTACAGCGCAGTGCTTAGGAGTGACTAGGTGAGGAGAAACTTGCTCAGAGGTCCTGTAGGGCGAGGAGGTTTCTGAGGAAGCCGAGTGTAGAATGGTCTGGCCGTATTTATACAATTTACGAGGATCAGGATTTGGGGTGAGCGTACTACTGTCTGGGAAGATATTGGAATCCTAATGTGTTGTCTGTATACAGGAAGATCTAAACAAATTTTTCGAATGGTCTGAAAAATGGCAGATGAAATTCAACGTGGACAAATGTAAAGTGCTCAGTATAGGAGATGTAAACAGGGAAACCAGATACCAGATGAACAACGATGCCATAGAGAAATCCGACTGCGAGAGAGATTTAGGAGTAATGATAAGCAGGAACCTTAAGCCAAGTAAACAATGTGTTTTTGCTCGTAACAAGGCTAATAAAGTACTTGGGTTCATACAAAGGAGTGTTAGTTACAAGACTAGCGAGGTCATCCTAAAACTGTATCTTGCTCTTGTGAGACCACACCTGGATTACGCAGTTCAGTTCTGGTCACCGTATTACAGAATGGATATAGAATCCTTGGAAAGAATTCAGAGGAGAATGACAAGACTAATCCCGGGCATTAGGAACCTTGAGTATAGAGACAGGTTAAAGCATCTTAATTTGCACTCCCTTGAGAGACGTAGAGCGAGGGGCGACCTGATAGAGGTGTATAAGTGGAAGGCAGGGCTAAACAAAGGGGACATTACAAAGGTACTCAAACTATCCAACCAGGAGCGAACTCGTAACAATGGTTTTAAATTAGACAAATTTAGAGTTAGGCGTGAAATAGGTAAACACTGGTTTGGAAACAGAGTAGTGGATGAATAGAACAAGTTACCAAATATCATCATTAACTCGAATACCCTGAATTGTTTCAAACATAGGTTGGATGCTCATATGAGCAATAGGGGTTGGGTGTAAACGGGACTGCCCAGTATGGGCCAATAGGCCCGCTGCAGTTTCCTCCATTCTTATGTTCTTATGTTGGTAGACCCTGCTGCTATATGGCATCGCAAAAATTGTGACCAAGTCCCAGGTTGCTGATATGACTTTCTGCCTCATTTACACTCAACAGTAGGGTCTCAATTGTTTCTCTTACTATTGACTACACAACATACATACATATTGTTTCTCACTATTGATTGTTTAATTTTTGCATATCTTTATGGTTCTTTATTATTATTGTAATTTGTGTTGTTATTATTATTATTGTTATCATTATTATTATATTATTTAATTTTTAATTTTGTATTTTGTATTATAAATTTTATTTACTAGGGTATAAATTATTATTATTTAATTTGTAATTTTGTATTTTTATTATAAATTTTATTTAATATGAATAATTATTATTATTATTATTATTATTATTATTATTATTATTATTATTATTATTATTGTTATTATTATTATTATTATTATTATTATTATTATTATTATTATTATTATTATTATTATTATTATTATTATTATTATTATTATTATTATTATTATTATTATTATATCCCCCAGCCCTGATGTGGGTCAGTGACCTGTGCCCGGGTGGGCTTATCCTCCCCCAAAAAAAAGCAACGAGAATGAGCAATACAGTACTGTACTTCTTTTACTTGAGTAATTTTTTTTTTTAGAGTACCAGAACTGTACTTTATTTAAGTATTTTTTCTAGTACTTCAAACACCACCATACTTTTCTTATATGCAGGAGGGGCAGTAAGTGCAGCAGGGGAGGAGGCCATCAGGGCAATCCTGGCATCACTGCGGGAGTCCATGAAGGGAGAGGAGGGCAGCGGAGGAATTGTGGCCCCACCCATGGACCCTATGGCCTTGGAGACTCAGGTCATTGCTCATCAGAACTCTGCTCTTAATATCACTGTCAGACTGTACAATATGAGCCTTACTGTAAGTTTTGTTTTTTGGTAATTTACATATCATTTAAACATTTCATGCATAGTTATATCATGTACTTTACCTTATGCTGTGAAAATGGCTAATCTTTGTAAACATTTCATCCACCTTAAATCATGAAGTTCTGTAATCTATTTAATGTTGTGCTCTTATACAATACTGTATTACAGTAAATAGTACATCAACAGACATCCCCAAATAAGCTTCTCAGAGTTAACCTTTTGACATACCTGTAGTGATTGAACATGAGAATTTTCATTCTCCAGATTTCTTCCTTCTCTTTTCCCCAACATGGGTAGGTTAGGCTATGCTTAAACTTATGTATGTAATTAATTGACAAAAATTAATTTTATTTTAATTCTATTTTACAGGGCCTCTCGGAATTTATTATTGAAGATGTACGAGTTAATGTCCAGTTGCTAACATTAATAGTATGTCTTGGTATTGACACACTCCAGCTTAATGGGGAGTATGACCTCCAGGGTAAGCTTTTGAAGGTGATTCCAATCTCAGCTCGAGGACCATTTACAGTCACAACCAACAATGCAAAGGTAAATGATCATGCCATTAACTGCATTATGGACTTATGAATCAATCAAATATAAATTAATACGTACTGTATTAATGCTGCTTTGTGTGTTTCCTTGATGTTGAAGTTATAATGTTATTACTGGACTTCAACAACTAAAGTCTTTAAGCATGTAACAATGTTAGTAATTATGAGAACTTGAACTAACTAATGGCAGAGACAAAAGGGGTTTAAAAGCAAAGAAAACAACAATTAAATTTCTTCATACAGTACTACAAAGAATCATTGAATTACATAGTAAAAGTAGTAAATATCTTTTTAATTGATATACTTATATGATAATCGCTTTGGCAATACTGTACCTGTACAATACTGTACTTATACAGTAGAGTAGTCGTAATCAGTACACTTTATTATCTTTTGGATAAATACTGTAAAACCTCCGTAAATGATCGCCAAAATAAAGCAAATTCCACACTATGATCGACTGTGTACATTTGGCGAAGAAGTTCACGAACGCTCTAAACGTCATACAATACAACAAAATGAACGAGTATTCTGAACCTTGCTTTCTGAGGAAGTTTTATTGCAAATTAAATTACTTCTTTTCACACATAAATACTATAAAGACAAGCAACATACATTATCATGGAATAATGAGTGTTACTTTGCAACCAAGTAATAACAAACCATTGAGATGACAAGAGCCATAGTGCTCATTCTGAAATAGGTTGTTCTCAGCTGTTCCAGAATTTTTTTCTTCTGCCGATTGTACCAATTAAGTTAATGCAAGACTTATTGTAATTTTATTAATATCATCGATGTTTGTATGCTGGGGTATAGGCAAGTACTGTCACATGAAATTTCCAGGTTTTGTTGTAGCTGTACTTTCTAAATTGTTTTTGCACAGTGTATTACTTTAGTGTTTAACCCTTAAATGTTGGGAGCTTTTTACATAGGCCTGTAATTGTTCTGACAGGGAAAGATTTGGGTTTTAAAAAAGGGTAAAATATTAAAAAAAATCTGATAAATGGGATAATAGCTCACTGAATACAGTGGTGTAATCGGGTTTCCTGTACGCCTAACATGAGTCACGAATGATGAGGGGATACTGGGGTGTTGCCCTGCACTCCAGTTTAGTCATGTTTTTATTTTTTATTCATTATTATATTTTCGTATGATCAGCCTCTTATGGTGTATGATTTATTATAAATAATATACAGTAACATCTTTAATAATAGAGAAAATACAAGATATAGTACTCTCAATACTCAGCTACCCTTTAAGTTCTGAACAGGGTTTCATATCTTTGAGTGACATATTACATACCCATGACAAAACATTTTCATTTCAGTTTGCTCAGGCCTGTGTATGTCAGCCTCTTTAACCACCCACATTTCACTGCCACACAACACACCCTTCTCATGCCAGTTACATGCCTCTTTTCATGTGAAGGCAGCAACTCCCTAAACTTCCTCCAGCCACTACTGTATGTATTGACTATTGAGCTGCCAGCACTGATCATACCACCCAAACTACAAATATTGTACTAGATGTTAGGAGTTGTCAATTGTGAATACGTTTACATTGACTAAATTGCAAATATCTGGTAAATAAAATTTGCGATTCTGTATACTGTAAATATCGAAGGTTTGCTGTATATGGTATATGTTTTGAGATATGTAAGTAGGATCAATATTATTATGTAGACATATGATAATTCTAATATTGGCCTTGCAGGTTACTCTTCGGGTTAAGTTGAAAGAATGTCGAGGACGTCTAGAGGTGAGAGATTTGACCAGTGACCTTATCTTAGAGAGTGTACGATGTCGCCTCTCACAGATGACCGGAGGTGCCCTGGTTAGCAGATTCTTAAATTCTGTATTGACTGATGTTCTTAGACAAGAGAGGCAGCGTCTTGCGCATGACCTCAGTGTTGTGCTTAAGACGTTGCTAAATAAGGAGCTTGGGAATTTCAATCTTGGTGTATCCCTCCAGCTTTTGCGCACCAGTGATAAGTTTATGCGGCGAGGTTCATTATATTAGTCACACATTTGAAAAAGATCCCCCATCCATCTTGTCTTTTGTAATGGATATCAGGTATTTTGTAACTTAATACAGAAAATCTTAAAAGCTGACATTTGGTAGAGCTGTCTTTTAGATAAAACATGCACTCTGATTACAGTGATATTCCAGAGTGGTCACTCCACTTTAATGAAAATTATAAGTTTTCTTACTTGAAAGAGAGAAAGGAAAACCTTAAGTGACCAAGAAATGATCATACATTGTTTCAGTGCAGGCTGGATGGCACTGATTGAGCAAGAAAAGTTATCTCACTGAGTGAGTGAGTTGATTCATCTGTCAAGATTACTGCTCATAGAGCTGACAGACACAGCTAAAATTGAAACCACTCAAGTTTTGAAGGTGGTATTAGTTTTATATAGTACCTGTTATAACAGTCAGTATTAAAAGTCAAGTTCTTGTTATCAAGGAAGGTACAATGTATTTCAAGTAGAAATTTGTTTTTGTATGCTATTGGTATATTGCAGTCAGGTATTGAGATTTTTCTCACTAAAATCCTCAGATCATTTTTATGGGATGCAAGAACCAAATAGTAACAATTACAATGATGTGCCAACATCTTGAGAAAATTTGGTTGCCAAATACATGTACACGCTTTGTTCTAATTGACTTTGCAATGTGTACGTGTTTTATATTTTAGTTGAATAGAATTGCAGTTGAATGTACATTTTTCATTCGTGCCAGGAAATTCAGCATGTACAGTACTAATTATTTATTAAAAAGTTGGAATATTCAATATGACTTGCATTGTTCATGAGAATTTTTTTTTTATTCTCTTATTTAGGAAACATCTTACCGTGGAAGCAAGTTAAGTACAGCACATCCCTTTTTTAAATAGAAGAAGTGAATGTGGTACAAGTATATGTGCACAAACAAGATTTTAAACTTAAGTACTGTATGCCTGTTAACAATAAAGGATTATCTCTCTTAATTTCAAAAGGCGATAAGTGTGTAGTTGTAGGTTTGTCAGTCAGGGGGAACTTTGAGTATTGTGACTTCTATGTCTTTGATAGCATTTGATTTTGTTTCCCCTTTTATTTAAATCCAAAAATTATGATATGACACTGAATACAGGTACTGTATCAGGGTTATTGCAGCTACTGCAAATACCTTTTTACATTACCTGGTATTATAATTTGCATTTATAGATACCGGTACATTGAACCCTCGTCAATTCGATGTTCACAATTAATATTTTTGGTCTAATTTGATATTTTTTGTCATTGTAGAATTTGCAAGATGATTTCTTGATTAAAAAAAATCAAATTTAATTTCAGATTCTTAACATAACTCATGCCTTCTATTATGTAATGAGAGATATGTTCTACTGTAATGAAAAAAAAACCTCCAGAAGCAATAAAATGACTGAAGAGCAATGTAAGAAAATATTGTAGGAAAAACAGTACATTACTTACTTTACTTTTATCCTCTTCACCACTGATCGGCTCGTTAGCCGCTTGGGCGATCAGTCACATCTGTTATTTTTCTTTTTCTTTTGTCCTCTTCACCAAATAATCGGCTCGTTAGCCGCTTGGGCGATCGGTCACATCTGTTACTTTTCTTTTTCTTTTGTCCTCTTCACCAAATAATCGGCTCGTTAGCCGCTTGGGCGATCGGTCACAGTACAGTTAAAGTTCCTTGCCATGCTAAACTTTCCTTTATTAAGCATGAAGTCACAGGTCCTGTAAAAATTACAGGTTTCTCTCAAATTGGAGGCGAGTTGTGGCAAAAATTCAGAACTGTGAGGTACAGTAATTTTGATGAGTTGGGATAAATCTATATATTCTTGGCTAAGTTTATCAACTAAGTGTTCTGACAATATCGAATTAGCGACGGTGTTGTGTATAGTTTTGGGGTAATTCAAGATTTTCCTATAGTATGGGTTCATTTAATCAAGGAGATATTAGTGAAACAGATTTGGAAGTTGGTGTCTTACTGATTTTACTACTGTACAGCATATTTTATTTCCCCCTATATCACATATCCCCTGCTCTACATTTCAAACAATGTAGTAAAGCATCATTTGTCCCAAATACCACAGCTGTTTAACACCTCTAGTCTACACCTTCAAGTGTTGACCACCTAATGTTAAAAACACTTAATGAACACTTTTGTAAGTACAGGCTACAGTATTTAACTGTCATAAAAGTCAATTTTTGCCACTTGCACAAAGAATTATGGAGGCTGCCTCAACAGGGCCATGATAGTGCTTCCATGGGCAACTGAGGCTGCTTTGTCTTACATGATTACAGTATATACGGTACATAGTTCTTTTATATAAATTGCATGTTTTCTATAACTGATTCCAAAAGTCTGCATCATTTTATATTTTTGGTATAGGATTTAATTCTCTTTGTTCATTGACTATGAAAGTTGATTTAACAGAGTATTTTTATCAGTGCTATGAAACAGCCACATTAAGATTAGTCAGTGCTGTAATGGCATCTGAATCTTAATGACTAGTAAAGAAATTAAGCTTTAACTAGGCAGAAATTATATGTTATACCTGAAGTTTTCATTATTTACAGTGGTAGTTTCCCCTGTGCATACTGTACATGTACTACAGTATCGAGAATTTTTGACTAAATTAGGATGATGTAGATTTTAGTGAGAAAGTTAGTGAAATCTCTCCCAATTTTTTAGATGGATATCAATAAAAGAAACCTTGTAAGAATTTTATATTGAGGTGTCTGGGTTAGGAGTGATGTACATGACACCCTCTCATTTTTTTTATTTCATCAAACGTTTAAAGTGCTTCAAATTTCAATCTGTATAGGACAGTTTATCACACAGACTAAATTTCTGTCCTGTCATAAGTGTGTTTATACCTCCACCCTCCGGCACTTTGGGGAAGCAGGCAACACTCTTTAAACGCGATTAACTCAGAAGAGGATCTGGAGGAATTCATCACTTCTATTCTAGATGCCTCAGTTTTGAAATACAGTACATATAGTTTCTTACAATTTTTGAACAAGCAAAAGATTGTTTATTGTATTGATTCTCATGGAACATTTCCAATATTTTCCGTACAAGTTAGTCAAAGATCTTTCATCTTTAATACAGCGAGTAACATTTGACATCTTCATCAGCATCACTTGACTGACTTTCAATCTAACCATGTCGGAATGTTCTTTGTGCAAGTACTGTTAAGATTGCTCTTCTTAAGCAATTCTGTGACCCAAGCCTTTTGTAAATTAAATCAAATGTCAAGGTCAAAGGCATGGAAGCAAAATGCTGCATGGTGTTTTTGCTCTTTATGCATACATTTGGGGATTTTTTTAATGAGAAATGTATGTTAACCCATTTGTCAAGATATGGCAAAGATTCTTTTTAAAGATCATGGAGATATCAAATAATGCTTAATCATAGTTGTTACTATTTCATGCTGTTACAATGCTGTTTGAGAGTATACTATAGTTAATATTTTTGGAGCTATAAATTTTAGATATTGTATACTGTACTGTATTTTTCTTCTTTTCATATTAGTATATAAATTCATTTATAGATTACTCCAGACTGGATAAAGAAATGCATTATTTTTGTTCAAGCTGAATGCGACGTCAGCTAGGTATGTTAATTCCTAGCCAATTCGCCAGGCCAACATACAGGCAATTAAAACATCTAATAATTACTTTAAAAAAACAGGTTTTTTTATGTTAATTCATAAGAGTAATTGCATTAAGTATTTGTGATATAAGACACGTTCTTATATATTTGAGAACTGATTCTGATAGTATTAAGTATTGTTACGGAAATGATGTTACGTACATAATTTCCATTTTTTTTTACTCATTGGGTTAAGAAAATTTGACATCCAAAAGTATTCTGTGTAGTAACATAGAAAAATGATAATATAATTTGTGATACAACAAATAAACAGATTAGTCCTTGAATAAGAAATATTTTGACATCTCTTGAACTGGTCTGAGAGTTGAAGTGCCACCATAGTTATTGTTAGGATGGTGAGAAAACTGTTTGCCAGTCTTTGCTCAAAAGGACGGTGTTGTGGTCTCTGTTGGATCTCCTGGTTCAGCTTCAGTTCTTCATCACAGATTATATGAAGGAGTTTTAATATATTTAGTTGTACAGTACAGGTATTATATAAGGTTTGTGAATTTTGATATTGCAGTAAACTATGTTTTGAGCTTGTACTGTGTAAGGTTCCAGAGCTGTGTTATAGATTTTGGGCTGTTGAATTCTGATTTTATGTTTTAAATTTTTTAGTTATATTAGATTTACATCAAGCAACTACTTTTGTTAATTTTGACTAGAAATACATCTTTTTTTTTTTTACTGAAGTCTTTTATATATTCATAAGTGTTATCACTGCAATGATCACCAACATGCTTTTGTTTGAGGGAGCTTTGTGATATATTGGGAAGAGCAATTAGATGTGCATTGTCTGTGTATATTTATAAAACTGAAATACAGGTACAGTATCAGGTATGAACGCCTTTCTAGTGTATTTCAGTTACGTATAGTGAGAAGCTCTGACACTTACAGGAAATAGGTATAGAGATGAAAGATACATTGGACTTCACATGACAAGTTAGTTAGGCAGTACATAATATAGCTACCATAACATACTGTACAGTAAGTGTTCTTTGTGGTATGGCTGTGACAATGACAATCCCTCTATGGGCTCTCCCAAGTAATATCAAGGTTGTTTATAATGGCATGTAAGCTATTAGATTTTTTAGTCGTATGAATGTTTGCTTATAATATATTGTATACAAATAAGATTTGTGCTGAACATTTATAAGTACTGTACAGGTAATGTCTTTACAACTGATGTTCACTGTTATTAATTTGGAATATTTATAAAGAATAATTCCTGATATGGGTTGTACATGTGTAAAAATCTTAACATCCACAATTCAAGAGAATTTATATAATTTTGCAAATTTAAATGACATTTTAAGCCCTTGAACCACACAAAAGAGAAATTGCATTAAAGAATGACAGACACTTTAACTGTTGAATAATTGTTCTCTTCAAAAAACCTCAAAGGTATGCATGAAAGATATCTCAATACTCTACTTACAATTCATCATAGTACTACAAATGTTTTATTAAGAGCACTCTTAATTCTTATTATATCAGTTTGTGGAGTAGCTCATGGATGAAGTGTTTCATTAGTTTTATTAAGTTTTGAAGACATTATTATTACATCTTGATTTATGCCAGGAGAGGTTTGTTATGCTAATTTAAAATGTTTTGAATATAATAATGTAAAGGAATGCCTTGACGTTGTGATTGTGTCATTCTGTAAGATAATAACAATGTCGTACTCTATTACTGTACTGTATCATGAAAACAGTATTGAAAAATTTCTTGTCAAAAAGACAAACAGCTCCTGTGACCCATTAATATTTTTGTATACTGTAGATATTCATAAGAAGTGAAATTAAAGTTTGCTGGCTATACATGATGACTAGTTGGCATCATCATCCATACAGTACTGTATGCCATGGTTATACATTTGATGTCCTCACAGGCAAGGGTGTATAACTTTAGTGCTTCTCACTCACTCAGAATTCACCCTTGAATATACCTGTTTGAAGAGGATCTACATATCTTGCATTGTATATTAAGTATTGTGCTAAAGCTGGATGGAGTTATGAAATGACAACTTTAAGACTCACTTTATCTATGTCCACTATGTACATTTACAATTACTTACTGGTATTATAAGGGGTTTATATAATTGTTAAGTTTAATTCAATTATATACAGTATTTGTAGACATACCGGGGGGCGTGCGATAAAGAGATTATGTTAACCACAATAAAATTTGTGGTTGTTTTATTTAATCTGTGGTTTTAGCATTTGAACCTAACTACGCTATGAATAACTGATGAGCAGGAATTCGATCTAACAAGCATAGTATTTTAGGGTATGAAAATTCAGTGAATGAGCATGTATTTTAATTAACAACTAACTTTCAGCCTCCTAGCTCAAAAAGTGCCTGAGATATAGCCTGTACAACCAACCAAGAGCCCTGACAAACAAACACAGAATAACCACTATGTCCTCAAGATTTTCATGGCACCTGGAGACAGAAGGGGAGTGTACAATTCAATTTGAAGATGTACTTTGTGTGTTTTTGGTGACTTAAGTTTTACCATTTTACATTATTAATATAAGCATGGATTCTTATACGTACCAGTCACTTGATTGGTCAGTGCATGGTGATATACTGTACTGTGATTGGCTTATAATTATCAGTGATGCCACTGACTTACGATGTCGTCGTCTGGTCGTGGCCTCAGTTAATTGGAAATTAAATTATGGTGACACTAAATTTCACAAGAAGAACTTAGAGCCCAGCTGTGACTGTCCCAAGCTGACCAGATTGACCTTGTAACCTTGATCAGAAGATGCCCAACAAGTCAGTCATGAAATAGATGTCAGGGAGAGAACATCTTCACTGATAATCCATTGTGAAGTGCCAACCACCTCCTGCAAAAAGGTATGTATGCAGTATATGTAATATTCTTTCGTTAGGCCAGAGATAATTGTTATA